AACAGACCACTACGGAGAGGAGCGACTTAACAGCAACACCGCAAGAAGAAGCCAGTGGGGAAGCGGGCCTTGAAAATAACGCTTCTCCTAAGGAACAAGCAGGCCTAGATGAGACAACTACTGTTTCTGCTGAGAGTATGCCAGCAGCAACAGCAACAGGTGCTCCAAGCGCTGGTATTTCTGAAACGTCTTCAACATTATTACCCGAAGCATCTACCCCAACCGTCGCCTTTCCACCTGTGATTGCAGTAGGTGGTGTACAAGCTACTACGGAAAGGAGCGAGTCAACAGCAACACCACCTGAGGAAGGCAGTGGAGAACAACCTCTTGATAAAAATGCACTTCCTGAAGTGCAGCCGAGTCTAGATCAAGCTGCTGGAACTTCTGCCGAAAGCGCATCAGAAACAACAACAGCCAAAGCTTCAGCAGAGGTGTCTGTAACAACTCCTAGCACTGAGGAGATTGCCACAACTACTTCTCCTACTGAAGCAAGCGCTGGAACAGAAATTACTAGAACACAGACCACAACAGGAGAAAGCGAGCTAAAAACAGTATCACCAGAGGAGGCTAGCGGTGAAGAATTGACTACGAAAAACATATTGCCTGAGGTGCAAGCAAATCAAGACGGATCTAATACTGTTTTTGCTAAGGGTTCAACAACGGCTTCCTCAGACGAGAGTGCAACAACTCCTAGCACGGGAGAGACAGTTACAAACATCTCCCCTCCTGTAGGTGGAATTGTAACTGGAACGAGTACAGAACAAACTTCAACAGGTAGCACTGGATCACCGTTATCCGAGGAGAACAGTGGAGAAGAACCCCTCGACAAAAGTGCGCTCCCTAAGGTGCAAGCGAGCTTGGACGAAACTACAACTCTTCCTGCGGAGAGTACACCAGAAGCGGCAACAGCAGCAGCTAGTTCAAGCACTGGCTCTTCTGAAACACCTTTACCCGAAGGTTCTGTCTCAACCGTCGTAATTCCACCTATAATTGTAGTAGGAGGCGAACAGACCACTACAGAAAAGAGTGAACTAACAACAACATCACATGAGGAAGCTGCAGAGCGAATAACAGAAACCTCAACAGCGATGACTCCAGAGGGTCTATCTGAAACATCTCCTCCTCCTGAGGCTACCGTAACTACCTCTTCCATTGTAGTGAGCGCTGTAACAGAAGTGACGAAGGAACAGACCACAATAGGAACCAGCGGAGCAACAA